GGCCAATTTTTAAAATGTTTAGTAGAGACTGTATCTCACTCTGTTGTGCAGGGTGGTCTTGAACTCCTGAGCTTAAGCGGTCCTCCTGCTTTGGCCTCCCGAAGTGCTGGGATTACAGGTGTGAGCCACCGCACCTGGCCGAGTAGACATTCTTATCCCCATTGAACAGATAAGCAAACAGGCTGTCTCAAGCTGGCCCTAATCTAGCAAAGTGGCTTCCTCTCCCCTCTCCCACCGTGCAGCACCCCCTGGGGACACCACCTCTGTGTTCCCTGCCTTGCTCAGTGTTTTCTCCACTTGGAATGCCATGCCACTGCTCAGGCTGTGTTACTTTGCAGAGAGCCGCCCTCCCACTCTCTTCAGTGGCTGCCTCTGCCCTGGGTTCCCCCAGCAGGCAGTAAGCTTTAGGGGCACGGGGCCCCACTGGATTCCTCCCAATGTCAGAGCACTTGGGGTGAATGATGACCAAACCACTTGTCCCCAGCCCCAGCCCTGGTAGTTTCTCTGCAAGCCCCGGCCAGTGAGGCTGCCTGTGGGGAAGAGTCTGCCGTGCTCTCTCACACCCTCCTCTCTGTGCTGCAGCCCCTCCCACCCAGATCATGCCTTTTGCTCCTGCAGCCACCTGGCTGACTCTTACTCTTCAGCTCCCGGCTTAGGCATTGCCTCGTCTAGGATGCCTTCCCTCCCCTCCAGCCTGTATTAGATGTTGCACTTCTGCCTCTTCCATTTATTCAGTCAATCCTCAACACGTATTTATTGAGCACCTAGTGTTTGTGCACTCGTATCCCCCGAAGACCTGGGCCATCCTAGGCCCCATCCTATCCCCCTAGCACCCAGTACTGGCTGACCTGGATATGCCCCGCCCTGTGGCTTCTGCAGCTGCACCTCGTGGAGTCAGACCCCAACCACTTTGCATCCCAGTTGGTACAGACCTTCATCCACTTTGACATGACCGAGCACCGGAGGGATGAGGAGAATGCACGGCTGCTGGCAGAGTTGGTGCGGGCTCGCGGCCTAAAGCTAGATGGCTGCTTCTCCTACTGGGACGACTGCCTGGTGCTCACAGCCCTGCTCTGCCAGGAGCTGGGTCTGCCCTGCAGCCCCCCAGCTGCCATGCGCCTGGCCAAGAAGAAAAGCCTCACCCAGCTGCACCTGTTGCGCCACCGTGGCCCACCCTGGCCTGCGCCCTCCCTCCATGCTGTGCCCTGCTGCCCACTGGAGAGCGAGGCTGATGTGGAGAGGGCCGTGCACCAGGTACCCCTGCCGGGTGTCATGAAGCTGGAGTTCGGGGCAGGTGCAGTGGGCGTGCGGCTGGTAGAGGATGCGCCACAGTGCCATGAGCACTTTTCCCGGATTACCCGAGACTTGCAGGGCGAGGCCGACCACCCGGGCATTGGGCTGGGCTGGGGCAATGCCATGCTGCTGATGGAGTTTGTGGAGGGCACCGAGCACGATGTGGACCTGGTGTTGTTTGGTGGGCGACTGCTGGCTGCCTTTGTCTCCGACAATGGCCCTACGAGGCTGCCTGGCTTCACTGAGACGGCGGCCTGCATGCCCACCGGGCTGGCATCAGAGCAGGAGGCACAGATGGTGCAGGCAGCCTTCCGCTGTTGCCTGGGCTGCGGGCTGCTCGATGGGGTCTTCAACGTGGAGCTCAAGCTGACCGGGGCTGGGCCTCGGCTTATCGAGATCAACCCCCGCATGGGTGGCTTCTACCTGCGTGATTGGATCCTGGAGCTCTATGGCGTGGACCTGCTGCTGGCTGCTGTTATGGTGGCCTGCGGCCTGCGTCCTGCCCTGCCCACCCGCCCACGTGCTCGTGGCCACCTGGTGGGCGTCATGTGCCTTGTGTCCCAGCACCTGCAGGCCCTGAGTTCCACTGCCAGCCGTGAGACCCTGCAGGCCCTGCACGACCGTGGCCTGCTACGCCTCAATCTGCTGGAGGAGGCCCTGGTGCCTGGGGAGTACGAGGAGCCCTACTGCAGTGTGGCCTGTGCCGGGTCCAGTCCCACCGAGGCCCGCCTCCGCCTGCTGGGCCTCTGCCAGGGCCTAGGCATTGACGGGCCCAGCTACCCTGTTGCTCACTTCCTGTCTCACTTCAAATAGCAGTGGGGCCAGGGGGCAGGGAAGCAGTGCTGGGAGTAGGGACTGTGGTACCCTCTACTCCCTGGAGCTCTTTCTGCCTCTCTCCACATCGCCATGCCCCAGCCCCAGCCTGGCCTGCTGCAACGCCTAGGTCTGTTTCAGAGCAGCAGGGCAATTTTGACACCAAGGCATCCTGGACTCAAGGGCCTCTTGCCCTCCCAAACGCCCCAGTCCAGCCCAGAGCTTCCCCAGCATTCTAGACTTGGAGAAGTGACAATGACCGCACACACACACACCCCTCTGTCGCCAGCTCCCCAGGTGGGAGTGAGCCCAAACCCAGCCCCTCCTGTCCACCCCTCCAGGTCTCACTCTCTTCCTGCCACCTACAAGAGGAGAGGACCTGGCTGGGCCCCAAGCCTTGGACAAATCCTAGAAAAACCTGAGACTAGAACCCTTGTCTTTCTCTTACCCAAATTCTAGGATAGCTCTAGAGCCTGCTAAAAACTTGGTGGCATCCAACCTGCCTCATTCGGCCTGAGCAGTAGAGGCAGGTGGACTGTGGACAGAAGCAATCCTCTTTCCGCTCACCCCGGGCAGACACTACTGCCTGCGTTCCCCCGGTGAAAGGAAACAGGCTGAGAGAGGAAAAATGACTGCTCCAGCATTATACCACCACGGAGGGTGGGTCACAGGACATGATGCAGGGTCCAGGTTTCTGTTTTGATCAAGTCTTACATGCCCATTCAGCTTCTAGGCCCCCCTCACCTCCCTGCCCTCATTCACGAGTGGCCCTGAGACATGTGAACGCCTCCCTCCTATGCATCACAAACCTTCTCCACGAAGCTTTGGTGCTTTGGCCTCCGGCACACCTAACTAGCATTGGCAAAGGAGTCTACATTCTCTTCCTCATTCAGGGAAGATGCTTTAAGAACTCCTGCCTCTGTGCAGCACAGGAACTGGAGACAGCTCCCCAAGCATCCCTCCCCAAATAAAGGCTTATGTACTAGTGAAGTGTCTAGATAGGTTCTCTTGACTGGACAACTCCTCCCAGGATCAGCTAGATAGGGGGTGGGGAAGGGGATTCAAGGGGATTGGGGATACTTGTAGCATCTGGAGCTAAGGGAAAACCACCCCACTGGCCTGGTGTCTGGGTTGCCCTGGGTTGCCAGGGGCCTGCCCTATACCCACATCAAGACCTGAACCTGAGGATCTCCTTTGGTAGAATTACAACCAAAGGGCCACATCCAACCAGATAACCCTCTGTGTGCCTGGAGACCGTTGAATTCTGTCCACCTCAGTTCATACCCAACCTCCCCTATGCAAACGGAATGCACACCTAGACAGCTTCCAACAATCAGAACTCACACCCAAGGCCTGGTCTGGCCCAAATTCACTTCCACACATCCCCATCCAACAAGAATCCATACCCAATCTTTTTTTTTTTTTTTTGAGACAGAGTTTCACTCTTGTTGCCCAGGCTGGGTGGAGTGCAGTGGCACAGTCACAGCTCACTGCAACCTCTGCCTCCAGGCTCAAGTGATTCTCCTGCCTCAGCCTCCCAAGTAGCTGGGATTACAGGCGCCCACCACCAGACCCGGCTAATTTTTGGTTTTTTAGTAGAGATGGGGTTTCATCATGTTGGCCAGACTAGTCTCGAACTCCTGACCTCAAGTGATCCACCCACCTCGACCTCCCAAAGTGCTGGGATTGCAGGTGTGAACCACTGCGCCCCGCCAAATCCATACCCAATCTAAAGTCACAGACCACATGTCGCAGACCAGATTTACTGTGTTGAGTGTGTTCTTTCTTTCTTTTTCTCTTTTCTTTTCTTTTCTCTTTTCTTTTCTTTTCTTTTCGACGGAGTCTTACTCTGTTGCCCAGGCTGTAGTGCAGTGGCGTGATCTTGGCTCACTGCAACCTCTGCCTCCCAGGTTCAAGCAATTCTCCTGACTCAGCCTCCCAAGTAGCTGGGATTATAGGCATGTACCACCACGCCTGGCTAATTTTTGTATATGTAGTAGAGACGGAGTTTCACCATGTTGGTCAGGCTGGTCTCGAACTCCTGACCTCAAGTGATCTGCCCGCCTCAGCCTCCCAAAGTGCTGGGATTGCAGGCATGAGCGACTCTGCCTGGCCTGTGTTCATTCTGTCAGCAGAGTTTTTGTTTTTTGCTGGGTGCAGTGGCTCATGCTTGTAATCACAGCACTTCAGGAGGCCAAGGTAGGAGGATCACTTGAGTCCAGGAGTTCAAGACCAGCCTCCTGGGCAACAAAACAAGACCTAGTGAAGTGTCTAGATAGGTTCTCTTGACTGGACAACTCCTCCCAGGATCAGCTAGATAGGGGGTGGGGAAGGGGATTCAAGGGGATTGGGGATACTTGTAGCATCTGGAGCTAAGGGAAAACCACCCCACTGGCCTGGTGTCTGGGTTGCCCTGGGTTGCCAGGGGCCTGCCCTATACCCACATCAAGACCTGAACCTGAGGATCTCCTTTGGTAGAATTACAACCAAAGGGCCACATCCAACCAGATAACCCTCTGTGTGCCTGGAGACCGTTGAATTCTGTCCACCTCAGTTCATACCCAACCTCCCCTATGCAAACGGAATGCACACCTAGACAGCTTCCAACAATCAGAACTCACACCCAAGGCCTGGTCTGGCCCAAATTCACTTCCACACATCCCCATCCAACAAGAATCCATACCCAATCTTTTTTTTTTTTTTTTGAGACAGAGTTTCACTCTTGTTGCCCAGGCTGGGTGGAGTGCAGTGGCACAGTCACAGCTCACTGCAACCTCTGCCTCCAGGCTCAAGTGATTCTCCTGCCTCAGCCTCCCAAGTAGCTGGGATTACAGGCGCCCACCACCAGACCCGGCTAATTTTTGGTTTTTTAGTAGAGATGGGGTTTCATCATGTTGGCCAGACTAGTCTCGAACTCCTGACCTCAAGTGATCCACCCACCTCGACCTCCCAAAGTGCTGGGATTGCAGGTGTGAACCACTGCGCCCCGCCAAATCCATACCCAATCTAAAGTCACAGACCACATGTCGCAGACCAGATTTACTGTGTTGAGTGTGTTCTTTCTTTCTTTTTCTCTTTTCTTTTCTTTTCTCTTTTCTTTTCTTTTCTTTTCGACGGAGTCTTACTCTGTTGCCCAGGCTGTAGTGCAGTGGCGTGATCTTGGCTCACTGCAACCTCTGCCTCCCAGGTTCAAGCAATTCTCCTGACTCAGCCTCCCAAGTAGCTGGGATTATAGGCATGTACCACCACGCCTGGCTAATTTTTGTATTTATAGTAGAGGCAGAGTTTCATCAACTCTTGGCCTCAAGTGATCCACCCACCTCGGCCTCCCAAAGTGTTGAGATTACAGGTGTGAGCCACCGCCTCTGACCTTTTTGTTTTTTTGAGACAGGATCTCACTCTGTCACCAAGCCTGGAATGCGGTGGCACCATCATAGCTCACTGTAACCTTGAACTCCTGGCCTCAAGTGATCCTCCCGACTTGGCTTCCCAAAGTGTTACGATTACAGGCGTGAGGCATCGTGTCCGGCCTCAACAACGTTTTTTGAAGTGTCTATTCTGTACCAGGTGCCTAAATGTGCTTAACCTGACGAGGGAGTAAACGCCAACAAAATCTCATATTTACAGGTGTATCACTGACCCCCAAACCCTATTTAAGGCGGGAACCTGGCAACATAACCTGGCAGTGAGCTGGCCACTCAGTAAATGCTCCGATCTGCAGGGTCCTCGAGCCAGAGGCACTTTGAGGAGACCCTGATGCCACTGTCTCCCTTTCAGGAGCGAACGGAAAGCAAGGCGACCTGCCTTTCATCACGCAGCCGGCCTGGCAGTACCCGGCTCCAACAGGGCTGGGGATTGTATTTACATTCACACCTGCATACACTTCCGACCCTGCCCCACCCAAACTCAAAACTCTCCGTAGAACCAAAACGGGCTCCCAGAGAGCCGTGCTGGGAAGACTGAGGGTCCTGCCGAGAGGATTCCGCAGGCTGAAGGCTGGGCGCCTCGCCACTCTAGGACTACAATTCCCGAGAGGCCTTGCGACGGACGCCATCTTTGTTCCCCACCAGGCTAAGCGATTTTGCGGAGGAGGAGTAAGACTTGCGTCATCGGCGCGCGCGGCCGCCGTCGCGGAGAGATGATGTTCAGGTCCGGGACTGTCAGTCGGTGCGCGGCCGGGTACGGGCCGAGAGGCCCGCGGGGCCGGCGCCTCCATGGCGGCCGTGTTTGATTTGGATTTGGAGACGGAGGAAGGCAGCGAGGGCGAGGGCGAGGGCGAGCCAGAGCTCAGCTCCGCGGTGAGTGCCCCGCCCTGGCGCTACTGGATCTTGGAGCCGATCCTGTCACCCAGCCGAGGCCGGAGCGGCGGCTCCGCACGCCCGGAGCGGGCTCCAACCCTTTGCAGACCCAGATCCTTCTCAGATCCCGGCCTCACCCCGACCTCTCTTCCAGAACCCCAGCCTTTTCCCCCGATTCTCCTTTTCCTGCCCTCGGCTTCTTCCCAGTTCTTGCACATCCCATGCCAGCTGCCATGCCTGACACCCTTCTCTCCTGGGCCAACCAGTCCAACCTGAGCGGGAGCGGGGAGGTATCCTGGCACCTTCCTTGGCTCTTACCCCTCGGTTTCTCACAGGACGTGTGTCCCTTTGCCGAGTTGAGGGCAGCTGGCCTGGAGTGAGTGAGGGTCGTGTTGGGGGAGAGGGGAATGGAGTGGGGAAGGGGAACTGGGGAGCACTAGAGCCTTGTCCTCATTAACTCCTTGTGTCTGTAGGCCTGTGGGACACTATGAAGAGGTGGAGCTGACTGAGACCAGCGTGAACCTCTGCCCAGAGCGCATCGGGCCCCACTGCTTTGAGCTGCTGCGTGTGCTGGGCAAGGGGGGCTATGGCAAGGTAGGGGCGGGCGCACCCTCCTCCTGCCTCCCAGCCTCCATCTGGAGGCAGCAAAGCGTTCTCAAAACAAAGTAGACTTGTGAATCAGCAGGGTTTCTAAGGGGATTCAGAGCCAGAAACATAAAGGAGGGAAGGCCAAATCCTCTCCAATCGGACTTGAAATCTTCACTGCCCCACCCTTAGCAGGGCCTAGGCCTCCTGGTCCCAAAGCCAGAGCTTAGGGTGGGGCTTCTTGAAGATAGGATGTGGAGAGGGAAGTTGATCCTGTCTCCCCTGCCCTACAGGTGTTCCAGGTGCGAAAGGTGCAAGGCACCAACTTGGGCAAAATATATGCCATGAAAGTCCTAAGGAAGGTGAGTCACTTGTTCAGCCAACGAATACTATGTGACTGCCATTCCCAATGTGCTGTACCAGGCTTTGGGAAGACAGCAGGGAACACAGTGGAGGAGGGGGCCTGTCTTTGGCATTTACTTGTTTATTGTCTGTTGTGATGTGTATTGTCTTGCAGTAATTCTCAGTGGGAGCAATTTTGACTCCCAGCAGACATTTGACAACATGTATGTACACTGTTTTTTTTTTCCCTTGTTTTGAGAAGGAGTTTCGCCCTGTCACCCAGGTTGGAGTGCAGTGGTGTGATCTTGGCTCACTGCCACCTCCGCCTCCCAGGTTCAAGTGATTCTTGTGCCTTAGCCTCCGGAGTAGCTGAGATTACAGGTGCCTGCCACCACACCCAGCTAATTTTTGTATTTTTTGTACAGGCGGGGTTTCACCAGGCTGGTCTCTAACTCCTAATCTCAGGTGATCCACCCGCCTTGGCCTCCAAAGTGCTGGGAGCTGGGATCACAGGCATGAGCCATCGCGCCTAGCCATTTTTTTTTTCTTTTGGGATGGAGTCTCGCTTTGTTGCCCAGACTGAAGTACAGTGGTGCACTCTCTGCTCACTGCAACCTCTGCCTCCCGGGTTCAAGGAATTATCTTACCTCAGCCTCCTGAGTAGCTGGGATTATAGGTGTGTGCCGCCACACCTGGCTAATCTTTGTATTTTTATTTATTTACTTATTTATTTTGAGACCGAGTCTCACTCTGTCTCCCAGGCTGGAGTGCAGTGGTGCGATCTCGGCTCACTGCAGCCTCCACCTCCCAGGTTGAAGTGATTCTCCTGCCTCAGCCTCCTGAGTAGCTGGGATTACAAGCATGAACCACCATGCCTGGCTAATTTTTTTTGTATTTTTAGTAGAGATGGGTTTTTGCCATGTTGGCCAGGCTGGTCTTGAACTCCTAACCTCAGGTGATCCACCCAGCTCGGCCTCCCAAAGTGCTGGGATTATAGCCATGAACCACCGTGCCTGGCCTAGTTTTTGTACTTTTTAGTGGAGACGGGGTTTCACCATGTTGGTCAGTCTGGTCTTGAACTCCTGACCTCAGGTGATTCGCCTGCCTCAGCCTGCCAAAGTGCTGGGATTACAGGTGTGATCCACTGTGCCTGGCATGGACACATTTTTGATTGTCAAGGCGAGAGAGGAGAGTTACTGGCACCCGGGGGGTGGAGGCCAGGGATGCTGCTGAACGTCCCACGGTGCACAGGGCAGCCTCCCACAACAAAGAATGACCTGGTCCCAGGTGTCAGTAGTGCCCAGGTTGAGAAACCCTGTGTTAGAGGATAAACCCATCCCTGGAAATGATGATGGCTGACAGCAGCAGAATTATGGAGAAATACAATGGAGTGACAGAGCATGGCAGCAGGTAACAGATGGATGGTCTGAGGAGCTCTGGATGCCCCCAGTTTTTTTCTTTTGAGACG